AATTGTATCTTAAATATTCTATGAAGAATTCAAACATTATACAATTGGAAACTTTTTCATCTTGTACACATATTGTACAAAAGAATGTCATACCTTTACTGTAGAAAATATGCTCTTGTAACTTTCTTAAGTTCAGTATATAATAAAGCAAATTATTATAATTGCTTCCTCTGGTATAACAGTTCAGTAGGACTAAGAAATTTTAATTATAAAATTATTATTTGTTATTAAAATATGAATACTTGGTAGACTAAATAAGTACTTTATATGTATCAATTATTAATAATAAAATATATATAAACAAGTGCCTTACACATAGATATTTCACATACATATCACCTATTAATAAAACATCCGCATAGATAATTAAATAAGACAAAATTTGTATGAGAATGTTATTTGAGTTTTTTCTTGTATCCACGTCGCTAAATTAATACATCCTTTGCCGATGTTGTATGAAGTGTCTACCACCATGCCGCTCCAGTTTCTCATTTCTTTCATTGTTACGACGATCCCAGTGATGATTACGTCTATCGTGATTTTGATTTTGGTTCTGACGCGACCAATCATGCCTGCGTGGCTTATTATACCAAGGATCTACGATTGGCGGTTTCTTTGGCTCCTGTGTTTTAATCTTCATGAAATCATCATCCTTCTCTGTATACCGGTCTTTGAACTCCTCTTCGCATTCTTCTATAAACTTTGTTTGCTCGCTTGTCAAAGTGATATCCGTCATGGTTAACGAATCTATAGTTTGTACATAGGACGATAATGAATTAAAATAATAATAAAATAATTAATGAAGATTTCATAAATATGGGAAAATCATTATTATAAATAAAACTTACAATCAGAAACATTTCACGCTTTTGTTCGTTTTAGCTTCTTACTGTCTGCTGTAAATCGTTAAATACTTTTCGTAAATACTTTGAGCTTGTTGACTTGCAAGAGAAGGTTATGTTCTTTAACAAAATCATCACATACACATAAGGATGCGTTCCAAAACTCGACTATATCAACTCCGAGTATCTTTTATTCTTGTTCAACACCTCAACAATTGAGTGAGTGCTCGCTGTTATTGGTGTATTCTTTTAGGTTATCCAATCAGCATATTAGATCTGGAAGAATATATCAATAGCAACGAACGCTCACTCAATTGTGAGTCCACTAAACGCAGCCATTGGATGTACCTATTGTCTTGTAGAAAAAATATTTTGACATGAAACTTGTTTTGACGTAGATTTTTACGAAGCTACAAAATCCGTTATAGAGTTGAATTTTGCAATTTCACTTAACAAATTCGCTCTTAAATAAATAAAATGATGCACCTTATTTGCAGTATAGATACATGTTTTCATGTTGATATTTTATCTCCTAGAAATAATATTGTGTCACATAAGATTTTTTTTACTTCTTTTTTTTATAAAGCTACGAAAGTACGTACAGATTTTGTAAATTTTGTAAATTGGTTTTTGAAAAATCAATTATAACAAATAAAATTATGTGCACCTTAACTGCACTATAGTACATATCGAATGAGATATGAATTTTTATTTTTTTATTTTTTTTCAAAAAATCGATTTGTACGAGCCTTAAAAAAAATTCGAGAACTATTGTAAATATTAGAATATGTCCAAAAACATACTTGTAACAATTATTTGCTGTCTGTATATTAGATAATATATATATCAGATATATATAACAGATCTAAGAAATTGAATACTAATAAAAATATATATTTCATTTTTTACTGTAATATGTTCTTTATTTATTAATAAATTCTGTGCTTAGCATTGAAAGTTTTACGTTATGATCTTCATTGATACGTAAAATTAGGAGCACCATACTTTGTTAATTTTAAGATACTAGTTTATTACTTAGTTAGATTTAACAACGAATAACTGTCCCTATTAATGTGCCTTTTAGCCAATTTGCTTGTTACTGAATTAATTATTAAATATTGTAGCTTTAATTTTATCTGTTTGCAATCAATATCGGTTTTTCAACTACTTCTTTTTCTTATAATATTTCTTTAATCTAAAAAATGTTAATACTTTATAATGCTTTTGACAAAAATAGAAAACATGTTTTTGTCCCTATTAGACTATAATTCTATAATTCTAATTCTACCTTTTTGATCAAGACAAAAGACAAACAGCAAGAAACAGAAAACATAAAGCACATTGTAGAATTAGCTTTAGTGAATCTTCTAAACGACGATGACCTTTATTAATGTGCTCCCAATTTGTGTGTCTATCCACATTTGACTCATTTTAACATATAAGTATTAATAACAGATAATAAATTTAAGTTAATTGTTTATGTTAATATTACATAAATCATTATTTCAATTATATTTATTTCAAAGTAAACTCAATGTTCTCAGCTTCAATACAGGGCACATTAATAGGGACAAGCTTAAAATCTTTTGGTACGTATTACTGATTCATAATTCCTCATATCTTTCGAAATATTTAAAATAATACTCACTTTAATATTCAAAAAATAAAATATTATCTTCGGAGTATTGTATGTATTAATAATTTAACTTAACAAAAAAAATATTTTTTTTTATTTATTTGTGCTAGTTTTCTTTATGACTTATCGAAATACAAAAGCACTCTAATAGGGACAGACATAGTAATTGGGACAATTGTCTTATGTATAATTTGTGTATAATACACATATACATCAATAATAAACATCATGCAGATGCTAGTCGTAAATATTATAACTCACTATATCACATGTCTTTGATAAACTATAAGTGTGCGTTTGGGAAGATGCTATTAGACTATATTTGTATCATTCTATCTTTATCATTCATTAGACACATAAAACAAAGATAAAATGACAAAAATAATATTAATAGCGTCTTCCCAAGGCATTCTAAATTGACAATATCAAATCACATAAAAAAGGTGAGAATCAACAAAACTTAATATTATGATTTATTTAACTACGTAAGTTCCTGTCTCTTTCATGCTCTCTCATATCCGCGTAGAAATGTAATAATAAAAATATAAAAAGCAGAGAGACAACAGCACGAACGTTTTCTAATAAATGATGTTTAAAATAATTATTTCTCATTGTCTAATTTTGGCCTACACCAAGACGGAAATTATTCGTATGAAAGGTAAAAACTTTCAAAACGCAGTCATAAATATCTGCAATATGCAGTACTTAAGCTTGTCAAGTAACTAGATTTGTTACTTTCACTTATTGATATTAAATTTTGTAATTACTAATGGTAACTAAACTTGCATGGCACTTGCTACTTTGGAGATTCTTATTAAGATACAATTATTTATAAGTATAATATCTCTTGCATTAGTCTTTCTTAACTAAAAGAATTAATTTTATAGATACGGATGTGATTTAAGAATTATGAAAGTTACGTTGTAAATGCAATCTCAAATACATACATAGAAATTCTATATAAATTTGAAGTGAGATCCGTCTGCCTGCGCTAATTCGTTAATTTAATATAAAATTTTCTGATTTGTTGGTCCAGTGGCAAAAATCCAAGCATTGATTACTGTGCTATAAGTCAATCGCATACTCAATGGAACGCTTTATATATTTGCCATCTAATTGATTCAGTAATTATTGAATCAATTGACTATTTAAGAGATATTTTTCGATTACAAGCTAAACTCAATTTCCATTAGAGAAAATCTTCTGTAGATGTTACTGTCGCTTCTATCAATAGCCCGAAATCCAATTCTGTAAGACTAGCTGCAAAACAAAAATTACATTCAAAAAAATATTCTTAAGATAACACAATTAATTGTATTTAGTTAAGTCTCACCTTTTGCAGTAAGTAAATCCAAAAAGGTGTCTAATGGTGACAAACGATCTGCAGAAGGAAATGCTGCTAAACCTGAAAACAATTTATGCTTGCATCATAGAAATTATATTTATTAAAATATTAAAATATTATAATATATTTTACTCACTGTTATGATGATTACGATGTTGTAAAGTCCGACTGCTGGTTCGACTCTGGGATATTTCGCCGCACAGAATATTAGCAGCATGTTCTCTGGCTCGCAACATTAAACTAATTGGATGCAACCATTGATTCAAAAGTCTCTTTGCGCGAGATCTTGGTAATAAAGACAACAACTTCAATTTCTGAACAACATTTTCTTTCGTATCGCTTATATCTAAACGAAAGATAATCAGCTTATATTAGAATGTATCTCCTGTCTAGTTTATACTTAAAAAACTGTAATAAAGATACAATAATTTTTTTATTGCATAGATATATACCAGCTAAGATAATCTTAGTGACGTCAACTTGAAGTTCAAATACTGAGCGTTCAATGTATTGCAGAAACATTGAGAATTTAAGAGTACGATAGCCAAGATAAGTAAAAAACGATGCGAATCCCTGTGGCGCAGGGAAAGCGATGCTCTCTATGGAATACCTATATCGCTGTAAGAGCATAAACAACAACCATCGTCTTGCTTCGTCCAATTGATCTCTACAAAAATAACATTCGATGCAGTTAAATAATAGAGATAAATAAATGCTTAAATTTAGATACTATTTGAATAATACTGTAGAATGCCACTGTTACAAGTTATAAATTTACATTTATTTATCAGATAAATTATAATCAATATAGCGATAAATTGTACTGTATATAAAATAGGATCTTACATGAGACTAAAACCACGTTCCTGCTCAATTCTCGGATCAACACCAGCTGTTCTACAAAGTATTTGACACAATATACGTGACGCTTCTAATTGCGCAGCCACGTATCTCGTGGCCATGGCATGAACGTGTAACGGGGTACAAGAACCTCGCGTGTGTATGGTTGACGTGTGCGTGCCATTCTTTAAAAGATACATCGAAAGCTCTCGCAAATTAACAGACACAATGTGCTCCTGTTTCGAAGCGGTGCAACTTTCCGTCTCGTTAAACGGTAAGCCTGAATCCAACTTAATGTTTCGATTACCCATGAAATCTCCAAGCGGCATTGCAACAAATCTGTAAAACATTATTTTTTATTATTGAAATTATTATTTATGAATCTGGTTATTATAAAAAATATTTCTGTGAAACCATATAAAAAAAAATTTGTATTAATTTTATAAGCAACTGTATAAATAACATACATATAGATTATGTATAAATAACAGATAACTATGTGTATACTCTTTTGTTTAGGAAGAAAACACAAATAAGGCGAATTTGCACTTTCATGCAATTAGTTACATGGAATTAGCATGAGAAATGTTATTACCCTCCACTTGGAGACATTGGAGTACTGCATCTGGATAACGCTTCTGGTTGATAACAAGCCAAAGAAACTAGCAGTTTTTCCGCAATATGACTAGGTTTGAATCTCAGTTTGTCACTACCATTTTTGCTCAACTGATCCCACAATCTAGTCCATAAATCACTACGATAAGGAACGAGTCTTTGTTGCGGTGAAAGTAACATTACTGATGTGTTCCAGAGTTTCTCATGACTCAATGTGATCTCCAAATCATTCATCTTTATATTGAAAGTCATATAATCACCTATAGTAGTAACGGGCAATAGAGATAATAAAGGAATAGTATCCGCAAGAAGATTTTTTTGCACTAAAGCATAAGAGTTTCCTATAAGAATTTCCTGCATAAAGCGTGGAATGTCCAATGAGCGTGGCTTCTCTGCGATAATGGACATTAACTCCGCGATAATTTCTATGTCGTTTTTGTGGCAGAGAAAATAATGAAGTATTCCCAAGCGGACTTCCACAGAAGTCTCTTTGCGAAATACTTCAATAAGAAAATCTGAAGGAATCGTCAACTGTACAAGGTCTAAAGTAGGCAAATCTATCGTCAGTATATTTGTGTTATTTGCGAGTAGACTATTTCCATCTGAATTCTTTCCATCTGGATTATGAGAATTCCTTCTTGTTCCTTTACTAGAATTATCTAAATCGAGTAAGGGCACCAGATAAGAGACACGAGATGGAATTGATGGTGGTGGGCTGCATAGTATGTGACAGCAAGGCTCGTGGTTCACACCGATTTCGAGAAGATGCGCGAATAGTCCTGGCACGAATACGATCATATGATGGTTCTCATAAATCGCGAAAGTCGGCCTCATCAGCTTGGCACGTGACCACGATATACCTGGTATAACACAATGTATCACGCAACTGTGATGCAACAGCGTCACCGAGTATGCAAAATGTACTGTGTTGGATTCATTCAAAGAGTTAAGTACATGCTGCGGCGGTTGTACAGGTCGATAAAGATAGTAGTGACAAACGCAGACCATTCCCTTGGTGTCCGACACCACTATAAGATCTAGGGAACAATCGTGGACTCGCAGGGGTATCACGTCATCTTCGTAAGTTCCGCAACTAGAGGACGGTGACAGTAGCGGTAAGTTTAATGGAATATTCAGCTAAAAAGATACAATAAGTTTTTTACGCTAATACGACGCCATGCATTTTGCTACGAAGTTTAATTAGCAAGCATATGAGATATATTTAAATTATTCGGCGTATTAATCAATTTGACACATAATCTATATTATGTAGGCTCAATAGACAGTTAGTAAAAGTTATATAGATTAATAATTTGGATAGATAATATATATTCTTGTTGTTTTTATCAAATGCTCACTACTGTTTCATGAGGCAAGTTGTCGTGGAACTGAAGACCACTGAGGGTTGGTTTAGAAGATCTGGAATTATTCTCATCCTCATTTTCAGTGACCACGCTTGCAGGAATTCGTCGATGATGTATATGGTAAAGAACTTGATTAATCATATCCCATTGAGCCCATATAAACGTTTTTACAAGTATTTCGGATTTCAATTCCTTTATCGGTCTTGAGTGGCTTATAGATGTATCGAATTGAGCAGTATATGTCAGAATACCTTAAAATAACACACAAATTACAAAGATATGTCAATGATTATAAATAAAATAGATGCTCCAACTATACATTTTAACTTCATGTTAAAAAATTCTATTTTTATACAAATGGTAATAAAATTACAATAATAATAAAACAAATAAAACAACAATATATTTTACTCACATTCGTGATGTATCAGAACTAGAAATTTGTCTACATCCAGTTGCTCTTTTTCTCTATATAGAAATTGTATTCGCACTTGTTCAGATCTCTTTATTTCCAGATCATGTACTTTGGTATCATCAGTAGTTAATTCTACAATGAACACTCTGTAGAATTCTCCATAGAATTCATGCCCTGAGCGATCTTCCAGAGGATCTGATATCTTCAGGCAATTTTTCTGTTTCGTCACGTATCCCATTAGAGTATGATTTTGATTGACTGTAGCTTGAACAATGTTCAATATTTCCGAAAAGCGGTGCAATATCTATGATACAATCAATATTAAAATTACTCATGTGGCAAAAGATTCTTTTTTCTTATGGTTCTCACCTGTAATTTGTTGTCAATCTGGTCGTAACGACCGACTACAGTACACAATGTGCATATATCGTTCCTCTCTGATTCTTCCACCCATCCAATAAGTATCGAACCATCTTTTTCTTGTCCAAGTAATTTCCATTGTTCGGCTAAAGAAACAAAAGAATTATCTTTTTTTTTAATAGTCTTCTAATATCATAATTTACATTGATTAAACACTGAAAATTATCTATTGTGCTCCAAATATCTTATATAATCGTTTATGTCATTATTTTTACGTATACGACGATGTGCAATTTTTATAAAGATAAGCTGAACAGCTAGCCTTGTTACATTCCAATATCATCTTTATCATTTAATAAATTAATAATCTCTCGATAGTTACCTGCGTTGGTATTTTCCGACAGAAGCGAACATAATTTCGCTGCGAGATTCTCTATCATATCTATTAAAGACAATTCCTGAATAATTTACGTTTCCTCGATTGTTCATACAGTATTTTCAACAAAATACGTATGCTTCGGTGTGCTCCTCTTTTTGATGGTTCGAGAAATTCTGGAATCTGAATTCTGACTTCGAGCCTTTCTTGTCGTCTGCTTGCCGAACGAAGCCGAGTGATGCCGAATTAATCCGAATCGTCATGAAAATTTATCTTAATTCTAAAAGTCTCGAGATCGGGTGAATCAACATCATCTGTCAGTCAAAATTAATTTAATAATTTCGTTGCTTCTATGTTGCAGTTTTATTTAAAACAGAAAAAAAGAATTAAGTCAATCTGTTAAAAATTAAGCTAGATGTGATTGATCCATCTCGTGTAAGAGCTGCCGATTCTGAGGAGAGTGTATGTTTACTCCCTCCTCTTTTCCTTCCCATTCCTCTCTACTGACTCTACTTTTGAAACATATTTTCTGCTTTTGAATCTGTCGATTCAGATTGTGATTAATCGTGATTACTGGTTACATTGAAGGAATACGACTTTCGAGGAAAAAAATGGTTGCTGGACGTGCGTTGCATTTTGTATTCAAGATATCGGATCGCGGGTTAACGGCAAAGTTTTATCGAGAGATTCTCGGGATGAAGGTAATTATAGATTTCTTTTTTTTCCTTTTTCTTGTTTGTCACGCAATTAATTTGTTGGATTATGTGTCTCTGCAGGTATTGAGACACGAGGAATTTTCAGATGGATGCGAGGCCGCGTGCAATGGGTGAGTAATCACTCGTGACTTGTCATTGTGCAATAATTTCTTGACAATGCGTTTACTATTTATTTTCTATACTTGAAACAACGAAAAAAAGAGAATTTGTACTTTTATATTAATTATTAATATAATATAAAATGTAACAATAAATACATATATTTATTGATTTATATTTTTTTACAATTATATATGCTATATTTGCTTTTAAATTCTACTATTAAATAACTCCTTTCAACCTATTGATATTTACACATTCAGAATTAATCATAAAACTAATAATATCAAACATAATCTACAATGTTATTTACAATACAATTTATTTTGTATTATATTTTTTTGTGTTATATTTTATACTATATCTTTTTTGTTAGTATCAAATACATCACATTCCTTATTTATATAAAACATTTAAAATTTGTAACATTGTAAATATATTTCTTTTACAGACCATATGCAAATCGTTGGAGCAAAACAATGATAGGATATGGCCCCGAAGATACACATTTTGTCATTGAGTTAACATATAATTATGGGATTAAAGAATATCAAACTGGAAACGATTTTAAAGCTATCACTATACATTCGAAGGATGTGATTGAAAAAGCACGCGCAAATAATTGGCCAATACATGAAGAAAATGGAAAATTTGTAGTACAGGCACCTGGTGGATATAAATATTGCATTATTAATGAACAACTTCCTATTAACAGTGGTAAATATAAAATCAGTCAATCTATTTTTAACAATATTGACGCAACAATCACTTTGAAGTTAAAATTATATAATATCTATAAATCAGTTTATAATATTATAGTAATAATAATTTATAGAATAAAGAATTATAAAATGGTCATGAAAAAAAACAATTATAATATCACATTTTTAGCAAACATTATTATTTCTTTAAATATATTGGCTGTTTCGAATAGATCCAGTAAAGAAAGTTACTCTATCTAGCTCCAATCTTGAACGTACCATTGCCTATTGGAAGGATATTTTGGGATTACAGATATTTGATAGAAAAGATAAAAGTGTGTTGATGGGCTATAGTGAAGATCAAGTCAAACTTGAATTTGAAGATATTGGTGAGTAAACACATATTTAATTTATTTTAATTTTTTATTAAATTTGTAATTACTGTGATTAAATATTTAATATGATTTGTTATTAATAAATTTTGTATATTAGGTACTGAAATTAATCACGCAAAAGCATATGGACGTATCGCTTTCTCAATACCATTTTCAGAGCAACCAGCGATTCAGAAAGCTATTAAAGAAAGTGGAAATAAAATCTTGACTGATTTGATAACTTTAGATACACCAGGAAAAGCTTCTGTAAGAGTTATTATTCTTGCTGATCCAGTAAGTATTTTGCAATATTTGAAATAAAACGCTTACAGTGCAGTTGCATTTTACAAATTTCATTGTGACTGTTTTCTAGGATGGGCACGAGATCTGCTTCGTAGACGATGAAGGATTTCGGCAACTCTCAGTTCCAGATTATCCAAGTGAAGAAATTTTAAATAGATATATTAAAAAAGAATCAACAGATGACGCATAAAAAATTACTTCTACCGTTGAAGTATTTGTAATTTAATAATATTATTGTAGGAGAAGTCCGAGAGACTTGATCATACAGGAGAATTAAATCAGTTCAAATTTTGCGCCAAGTTTGTTAAGCCGACATGCGGGTCATGTCATATGACATTATAGCTGTAATCATAATGTAAGAATAGATATATCATTTCGCATAATGATGATAGCAATACTGGAAACAACCAATCAAATTTTGGCGTCTATGCACTTTCCTGTATATAATAGCGCTGGCATATTGGAATAGCTAATCAAATTTTGACCACAATTCTCCTAATGCGCGTGCTCGGAAATCATATACTTTGTCTTATTTTGACTTAATGATAATAGCAACTAATAAGCGCTAAACGACGCAAAATTTGAACAAGTATATGAAATAGTTCAACTGTATTATTTGATCAAATCTCTCAGATTCCCCCTAGATGTTGGAATGCTAATTATAAAGAGATTAATACTTAAAACTTAACAAGAAACAAGACATCTAAATAAAAACATGTAAATATATAAATAAAAAATGTTCTTATAGTTTTGTGAAAACAAACTTTACTTTTGTATCAAATTGTATAGAATTAAATGCCATATAAAATGTATGTCTTTATATTCCTTAGCAAATTAAATTTTATTACATAAAAATCTAGTATCACATAAAGTTTTCAATTCAGTTGCAAATTTTATATGAGTAGGAAACTGATTTTTTGTAATCTTCATAGAAATAAAAAATGCTGACGCGTAGACATGAAATGGTAATTCTATCATAATAACGTTTATCAGCTGTAATCATATTGCAAGCATTTAATTGTATTAGTGAATGATCAATAATAACGTAATCTTTTAATGTTTATGTCACGAAGAAAAACACAATTACTTAAGAAGATTGATAAACATAAACGTAAAAAAAGTATACATGTATTTATCATCTTATAGCTATCTCGAGCACGTCAGTGTCCTCAAATTAGTGTAAGACGTTTTCATATAATAGAGATGAAGGTTCGAATTTTGCTACTCCTCTTTTTCTTAAGTCAGTTTCTTTTAGTCAGTAAGTATATACGCAATAAAATTTTATGTAAAATATTATTTTATATTATTATTACATATACATTTTTTGGATGTAACATTACCCAAATTAAACTTTTACATCATTATATTGATAATAATATTTTAAGTAATTTTTAATTGTCTAATTTTTTATTTACCTTAAATTAACTTTTTAATATATCAGCAAAAAAAATAATTTTGCCTGAATTATTAGACCTTAATCTTTATTTTCAGACTACGTAAATGCAGGGAAATTGGGGAAACTTGAAGGCATTCAATTCTCTTCTTGGAGAGGCTCGTCATCATTAGGTTCCTTTTTATCAAAACTTTTTAGATCCAGTTCAAGGTTCAGTTCTAAATTGAACTATAAAAACTTGTCAGGCAATCATATAACGGGATCAAGACATTACGGATTCGGACGTTCATCAGGTGGACACACGACGGGGTCAGACTTAACTGGCTATGGAAGTTCATCTGGTAGACATATGACAGGATCAAGTCCTTTTAACCGTGGAAATTCATCACAGAGACATACGATAATCTCAACTCCTTTTGGATATACAATCAAGCCCATACTTACGACCTTGGGACGCACAGGATCAAATCTGACAGGAACTATATCGAGTCAGTATATGATATGGTTATAATGAAAGACAAGCTATTTATTTCAATCTTTCTGTTATAGCAGATTTATATCTTTTACTCTTATTGTAGGTCAAACTTCGCATCAACAAAATAAAGATGCATCTTCGAAATATTTACAAAATAAAGGTGGAAATACTCCACGATCCTGTAAGTGCTACAGCAAACAATAATTGTAATCGTTAATTTTTTTATTGTTTATAATGTAATGTTTAATATGAATATCTTTATTTTTGTAAAGCTCAAAGTAATTCCGGGCAATCTAATTGGCCATATCTAGCATTACATCGCAATAAAGGTATTATTAGCATTGATTATCTTGTTTTATTTACAATTACAACACATTATTAGAAATAAAGAATTTTCAAATGTTATGTTAGCTGAGATATTATTTTTCTCTAATATTTTTTTTCGCTCTAATATTTTTTTTCATGATTCTGATTTCAATCGTTTGTCTTTTTCTATATTAGACAAAAAATAATATATTCTTTTTTTAGAATATTTGTCAAGAGTAACTTCTTTTCTGGAAAGTTTTCTAGAAACTTATCCTATGAGTAGAACATCAAGCTTTACAACACAAAATAAAAATTCTACACGATATAGTTCATCAGCATCATCGAATAATCATTTATTGACATCCACTATGGTACCTTTACAAAATCATGGTATTACTTTTTACTATTTTCAATAAATTTATGCATTTAAATTTTTTTTTATTTAAGAAATAAGAAATTTAAGAAATAATATTTATCAATTATAATTATGACAGAAAATTCACGTAAATTAAAAGAATAAATGGTTTTAGCAAATTCACGTAAATTAAAAGAATAAATGGTTTTAGCAAATATAAACAATTTAAACATAACTAAAAACATAACATAATTAAAAATTAGTAGGTGTATATAATTTTCTTGCAGCTTTAATTTTTTTTAATCAAATAAGCACGTAAAAAATTACTTCTACCGTTGAAATATTTGTAATTTATTAATATTAAATGGAAGTCTTGACTGGGAGACTTGACCACAGGAGAGTTACATCAGTAATTTACATCATTTTTTTTACATCATTAATTCAATTGTTTCGTTCAAATTTTGCGCCAAGCTGACATGCGGGTCATGTTGTCATATGACATTAGTATTGATATGGACCGCTAAACAGCACAAAATTTGAACGAATATTTGAAATAATTCAATTATATTATATGATCAAAAAATTCCCCCTAGATATTGTGGTGGAATGCTAATTGTAAAGAGATTAATACTTTAGAGACTTAAATGAAACAAGACATTTAAATAAAAACATATAAATATGCAAATAAAAATGTTCTCATAGTTTTGCGAAAACAAATTTTACTTTTTGCATCAAATTGTATAGAATTAAATATAACATATATGTCTTTATATTTATTCAAATTGAATTAAATTTTATTACAAAAATTACACAAAGTTCTCAGTTCAGTTGCAAATTTTGTATAAGTAGGAAACTGATTTTTTGTAATCTTTTCGTAGAAATAGAAGATGCTGACGCTTAAATATAAAATGGTAATTCCATGATACGAATGTTTATCAGCTGTAATTATACTAAAAGTATTTAATTGTATTAGTGAGTGGTCAACAGGTCAATAACGTAATCTTTCAATGTGCTTATATCGTTATTAAGAAAGACGCAATTACTAAGAAGATTGATAATCGTAAAAAAATATACATATGTATTTATCATCTTATAGTCTTCAAGCACGCCAGTGCTTGAACTCCTCAAATTAGTGTAAGACTATCGTCTCCATATAATAGAGATGAAGGTCCGAATTTTGCTATTTCTCTTTCTTTTAACGTTTCTTTTAGCCAGTGAGTATATACGCAATAAAATTTTATATAAAATTATTTTATATATTATTATATACAAATTTTTTAAATGTAATATTACCCAAATTAAACTTTTATGTAAGTGTTATATTATTATATTGATAATATTTTAAGTAACTTTTGATTGTCTAATAATTTTTTATCTACATTAAGTCAACTTTTTAATACGTTAGCGAAAAAGAATTTTGCTTGGATTTATTAAATGTTAATCTTTATTTTCAGACGATGTAAGTGCAGGAAAATTTGGGAAACATCGGGGAGGGGGGGGTTCATCGGGAGGACGCACAAGATCAAACCCAACTGGAACTACATTGAGTCAGTATATGATATGATTAGTTTGAAACGAAGTATTATTTATTTCAATTTTTCTGTGGTTATATCAGAATTATATCTTTCATTCTTATTGTAGGTCAAATTTCGCATAAATTCAAACAAAATAAAGATGCATCTTCAACGTTTTTACAAGCTGAAAGAGGAGACGCCACACGACCCTGTAAGTGTTACAGCGATTAGTAATTATAACCATTTTTCCATTCATTTTTTTACTGAACCATTCATTTTTTGTTGAATGTTTCTGTAAAGCTCAAACTAATTCCGGGCAATCTAGTCGACCATCAGCACCACATGGCAATACAGGTATTATTAGCATGATTATGATTATCTTGTTATTTACAATTAGAATATATTATTAGAAAGAAAAAATTTTCAAATGTTATATTAGCTGAGATATTATTTCTCATCTGTTTTCACTTGTTTGTCTTTTTCTGTTATATAAAAAATAAAAAAGTAAAATATATTCTTTTTCTTTTAGGAACTTATCCTGAGAGTCATAGGACATTAGGCTTTACAACAGAGAGTAAACAAAATTCTGCACATAATCCATCAGCACCATATAATCCATATAGTTCATCAGCATCGACTAATCATTTGTCGAAATCCACTTTGGTACCATCGCAAAATCATGGTATACTTTTTATCATTTTTATTAAATTTATGCATTTAAATTCTTGAAATTTAAAAAACAATATTTGTCAATTATAATTACTGATTATGACAGAAAATTAACGTAAACTAAAGAATAAATATTTTATCAAATATAAACAATTTTAACATAATTAAAAATTAGCAGATGTATATAATTTTCTTGCAGCTCCAACTTCTTTCGGCCAACCAAGCGCGCCTTATAACCCATTACAAGGAACTGCACTTAATAATCCTTCATGGAGCAATCCTCATTTCCGAGTCGATCCAAATCAATCTCACCTACCAGGCTCCACTTCCACTAATATCGGCTTCAAAGATCATCTGCGTCCAACTTCGATGCCGGTTCCTTCTATACCTTATCCGCATCCTCCTTATCCTACTTCTGGTTTTAATCCTCCTCCATATACTAGTCATCCCTTAAGTCATTCGAATCAACCTCACGTACCTCATATACCTTCCACGCACAATCCCAGTTACTCTTTTCCCAGTCAATCGTTTGGATATTCTTCCAATTATCCAGCGCATATTCCGCCACCCGTACCAAATACATTTGGAAATCCATATTCTACACACCCCGTTGGCGGAACGTATGGCACAGCTGGACACACTTATTATCCTCAACAACAAGTTCTGGCGCAGCCGGCAGCGCAACCATATATACCTGGACAAACGGTCATAATGATTCCTGGTCAACAAGACAACGGCAGAGGCTTTGGTCAAATGGTGAAAGAAGCACTTGTATTCTCCACAATCAATGCCGGTGTGAATAGGTTGATAAATCCGCATCAACATTATGTGCAGGATTACAGTAATCCAAGTAGTGGTACCAGTCCGAGTAGTGGTACCAGTGAAACACATATAACTTATAATAATCATTATTTTAATACAGTTCCTCCAGGTAGTATTTCTCCGGCTTCATCAAATATACTTCAAGGAAATGTTCCTGTTGCGTCTCCTATCAACCCAAATCCTGTAAACAATCCAATTATTATTCCGGGTGTATCAATTCCTACAATTGTCAACAACGGTAGTACAATATATCCGATTGGCAATTCTTCCATAAACACAATGGGTACAACTAACAATATGGAAATTCCTTCAATTTCTACTAGCAATATAGAGAATAATCAAGGAATGCCCAATCAAGGAACAGCTATTTATTCTCCGCAATATAAAATATCAGATGACGATCTATTAATGTTGACCGAAGAGTTATTCGTGAAACAAGAAATTAACATATCCAAGTATTTGACATTACATCTTCAGAGTAAATCTGAAAACGTAACCGATGCAGCTAAAGGACCGTAAGTTTTGTGTTTAAGTCAATCACAACATGATTATTCTTCCCTTATATATATTATACGTTTTTAGATTAATTTACGTGCAAGAAGAAGCATATGATTATCCAACGATCTTAGCTATTCGAGCTCTGTACAACAATTACGAACACAATTCTACTGTGAAAGAAACTCGTACAGCAGAAAAGCGAAAGAGAGAGGAGTTTTTGTTAGACATGTTTGTGAATACGAATGTGATGACTAGAACTCTGCGATGGTTATCAGATCGAGGTTTCATCGATCCCTATGCCTTCGAGAAAGACACTTTGCGGAGTATCTGGTTCAACACGTTTAATGGTGCTACATCAGGTTTTGAGCGAGTGTTCACATCTGAAAGATATGGTACGGAGCTTCTTGGGGTGCAGGACTGGATCTATTTTAATTATCAAGAATCGAAGAATCGTATTGATTACATGGGATACGTTGATACTATGAAGCTTGGCGACGTGAGTCATATTATATCTATAGATGTGTAATATATATGTAAAATATATACGTAAAATATATATTATCGTATCTTAATGTTATGCACGAAAAGAATATAAAAGTATATTGTACATTTATAAAATTGGTTATAACAATTATTTGTTTTTTGCAGAGAGCCTCATTGGTGAAATTGAACTTCCAAATGGATGATATTATTAGACCAAATGCAACGATATTCGTGGGCACGCTTCCTGAACTTGAAATGGCTTTGTACATGATATGTTTTTATACCAGGCCGAATAATTTATGTCCCGTTTCACTTGGCGGAAACAAGTTTAATATTTACACACATTCATTTAGATATTATGGGCAAGATCTTATAGATCTTGCGCTTCCTGTTTTCTAATTTTGTATCATATGAATAAATTCTCGGACGTGATAATGTAAATTATTAAAGTACACACTTTGAGCGCATTTTAACAGACAATATCAAATGTAAGAATGTGTGATTGGAATTATATAAATTACTTTTTTTAATTTTTATTCATGTAATGCGACAAATCTTGTTACACTAATAAGAAATATATGTATTGCAACTTATTTGGAAAATTTTTGCGATCTTATGATAAACATAACAATTTTTTTTCTTATCTTATTCTTATATGATAAAAAATAATGTTATAATATTTAAAATTAAATAAACAATATTTCTATTTATCATTATATATATATATGTAGAATTTGAGAATAATTGTAATTTTACATTGAAAAATATTGTTTTCCTTTTACTTCAGTGATGTTCTCTTCAAGGATGCAAAGTTCAATTTTTTCTGAAATTTGTAATATAATATTAATTAATAAAAAAATATATTTTTATACTAATAATATATTCTGTAATAATATATATTAAAACAATGTTGTTTCCAAGTAATATTAAATTTAATGAATCTCATTTCAAAAACACATTATTTTGAGATCTTATATTATAAAAAAAAATTTTTAATAAATGAACCTTGTAAAAAATAAGCAAAAACAAAACATCATAAGTTTTTATTAAAGAGAGAGTCAGTTTGAAATTGTCTTAAAAAATAGAGAAAGCGCGAGAAATCTAGAAAATATCGTACATATATGGCTTTCTTTGAATATCTTTTAACTAATATAATCTAGGTTTTATAAAATTTTATTAATAGTTATTCAAAAAAAATTGTGTTAATAAATGAAATATTATTAATTTAATATTTTAAACTGAGAAGTGTTTAATCGAATAACTCGACCAATTACAGTTCTGTTACAGACGCATGGGGTCAGTGGAAAGAGAAAGCCTGCGAAGTATGAATCATTCAATGTTACGGGCGATGGTCACCGACGTCTAGGCCGTTCAGCATGAGGTCGAATGGTAGTAGTAGTCTGTCGACTGCGTGAGCAGACAGTGCGTATCAGAAATCTTTTCGAGTTTCGAACTGACTTTTTGTTTAAGACAACAATTTGACAAAAGTGAAACGGGCAATAACGAATATGAGAATCAAGACATTCCTGATCACTGTGATTGTGATTTTATTTATTTTCGGTAATGGGACATGTTATTTTTAAACAGATATTGATAGGTTATAATTATTAAAGATTGTTAAAGTAATAAGTGAAATTTACATGTGAGAAATATCATCAGATTTACACAAGATGCTTTTATAAATTTGTATCAAGTGCATTAATAAGTTCTTCACTTAATCAATTTGTATTAAAATAATTTTGTTGAGCTTTTACAGAAAATTTGATATTTAGAAATTATACGTTTTGCGAATTATCTCCGAGTGTATATCCGTTCTTAGAATGCTAAAGTTTTCCAGAACATTCCAGTTCACTTCATTAGGACGAGAAGTAGTTTACGAAACTTTGGTATTTCTCAAGAATAAATATAAACGGAGATAAACCGTGAAATACAAAGCTTTTATTATAGAAAATACGATGGAAGCTTCAAACCATGAAATACAAAGCTTCTATTATAGAAAATACAATGGAAGCCTCAAAAGTATTAAAGATCGATACTAATTATCTTAACAATCACCTTAAATTTTATTAAACTTTAGAATATGCTTTCAAAATCTATTGTGAAATGCTCTAATAATGAAATAATATTTTAATTAATCGAGAATCAAGTTTTAGTAAAAAAATTGAAATTTTACAGAAAATTAATTGATGGCTACGCTCCAAATAAAAAATCTTTTTTAGTTTAAGTTTTTAGTTAAATTTTCCTTGAAATCAAGTTACGTGTTAACACGGAAGCACGGAAGTTAGCGGAAACTCATTCATCTCTAACTGTCTGTAATTTACGAATTACTAAATTAATTTATAACTGACGAATTACTAACAATTGTGCATTGGAAACATAATTTCTAATTTAGTCAGAAAATCTTTTGTGTACAATACAATACAAAATGCATACATGTTGTAAATTTGAAAAAACTAGTTATTTCATTTAAAAAAACGATAAAGGATATGTTTAATTCATTAATAAACATGTTTGACTTGTGCATTTATAAAATAAAAAAAACTATATGTATATTATAGAGAGGTAACGTAAATTGAACATAGGAACATTTTTACGACTCATAAAATTGATAATTTTTAATTTGTTCTACATTTCAAAATCTTGCGAAGCATCTTTGAAAATATATAAGAAAATAAAATATATGGATCAGCTGTTTAAATAGATGGTAAAAGAATGGAGCAAGCATTCTAAAATCACGTAAGATTTACGTATAATGTTGATAAATTGACTAACAAATAAACTGCGTAATAAGTGAAATCAGCAGAGTAAATTGCTCTTCTATCTTATTCATACGTCATGCCATCAATGTGCTCCTCATATGGTATTATTCACTTGACAGCGTTTACCATAATTGCATTACTGCGTTTATGATACTAAATTGGAGATTTTTATCGAAAGTCATGTACGGAAAATGTTTTAAGGTGCGTTTGTCAAATTTAACGATGCATAAATAATAAAAAAAAAGTAGAAATTTTCTCTTATGATTATAGTAGTTTTTTCAGAAAGAATTGCAAAAAATTACATATAAATTTAAAAAACGATACATATGTGATTGTAAAGCTATATCGATATCGAAATAATTATTAATAAAAATTGTCGTTTTCATTATGGAAAGAATTTAAAAAATGTAAATAGACTTGATTTTGAATATATCTTTCTCTCTTGTATAATGTGCGCACGAACTCTCAAAGGTATTCATCGTAATACATAATATTGAGCCAATGAGTGAACAGGCAATTGCTGCTACATTATATAATAATCTGTTGAAGAACAATAGGCTTGGCAATCTGTACCGGTGTCGAATCGCGAGAAATAAAAGAGGACACCAAGTTCTATACAGATAGCTTAATAAGCACTCAATCAACGTGTTTTATGACGCAGAAATCTTTCTCGATTCATTCTAATATGATCCTACTTTTAATAATTTTCATAGTAGAAAATAATTGAGAATATTCTGAAATTTTATAATACATAAAAATTTGTTTGCATATCTGTGCATAAATTTAAATTACGAAAACTCTAGCTATATTTCGTTTCTCTTATCCTGAGTTACAATACTCTAACAATAAGTTACAATTCTCCTCAGTATTCTCAAGAATTTCCCTTCATGATCAAGTGTCACAAATGTCGATTTAATTTTAAATATTTAAGTACTGATATACGAAAAGGAATAAATCGAATTATGTGTAGTAATGATTAATCATAGTTAACAATGAGACGAAAGACATGTTAGTTAAATGTTGAAATCATTGCATATAATAAATTGCATGTATGACATTGTGTTTACAGCGGATACAGATGGTCGTAAAACCAGCGGACGGAGGAGCGGTAGTAGTGGATGGGGCTCCTCCTCTTCTCGAAGTAACTCTCGGCGAGGAGGTACTTCTCACAGAACAACTCAACGGCCCTCACAGACAGGTATATATATATATATATATA